GCATGGGAAGCTGGAGCTGACAGATGGGAGCTCACTCCATCTTGCAAATTCGAACCTTCAGATCAGCAGTTCAGCTTGCACATGGGTTTAACACATTGCGCCACTGCAGCTCTATCCTGCAACTAACTAAGCACTAATCAGGGCTGAGCCTGTTTAGCATAGGATCTCGTGCCTTTAGGATATTTATTTCTTATAGTTTCTTAACATGTAAAAAATGACCATTATTAAATAAAATTAGGCTTTATATATTTAAGAAGTCTGGAAGGAATTCTGTAATTTCTGACATTCAGCATTACTCGTGACACAACATCGTGCTCAGTGTTTATAACTCTTGATTGTAAACAGGAATCAGGATCCCGGCCTCATTGGCAATGCGGCACAAGACGTACCATTTTGTATAACACCAGGATCACCTACAAATCCCAAAAAGATCCATGATGAACTCCTCAAATTCTCTAATATCCGGAAGTTTCCAAACACAAATGGCAGAGACATTTGTTTACCTGACGTTTCACCGACAGTCACTATTTTGTATGGACTTGTCTAAAAAATTACAGCTGAATTCATTTAATTTTTTTCAGTACTTTGTACACAAATAGGATTTAGTTCCTAAAATTTATTACAGCTTTAGTCTTCAAACAGAAAACTTGCTTGCACATGTATAGAAGAGCCAAATAGTGATGTTTCTTGTCTCTCTAAGCAGACAAAATCAACGTTGGAAGAGACCTCGTGGGCCATCCAGTCCAAACCCCTGCCAAGAAGCAGGAAAATTGCAATCAAAGTACACCCAACAGATGGCCATTCGGCCTCTGTTTAAAAGCCTCCAAAGAAGGAGCCTCCACCACACTCCGGGACAGAGAGTTCCACTGCTGAACAGCTCTCACAGTTAGGAAGTTCTTCATAATTTTCAGGTGGAATCTCTTTTCCTGTAGTTTGAAGCCATTGTTTTGCGTCCTACTCTCCAAGGAGCAGAACATTTATACATGGCCATCAGATAGAATTCTTAAATTCATGAGGGCTCCTTGACCAAAAACTTTGATATATTGTTCTGGATTGCATAAAGGCTTCATTTAATTGGAAACTACTAAGATTTCAGTGTTACAGCAATCAGTTAGTTTAAACACTTCTTCAAGGAAATGGGGATTTAAATCACTACCAAGAAACTGGAAATAAATCAATGGTTTTAAATTGATCTTATTTCATAAAATCATAGAGTTGGAAGAGACTACAAGGGACATCCATTCCAACTCCCTGCCAAAAACAAACATAACATCATAGGGCTTGGTTTCCAAACCTTTAGGTCACCCTTCTCTGGACCTATCCCTCTTCATTTGTGGTGTCCAGAACTGGACACAGTATTCCAGATGAGGTCTGACCAAAGCAGAATATAGTGAAACAATGACTTCCCTCCATTTCTTGACAGTTTAGACCAGTGGTTCTCAACCTACGGGTCCCCAGGTGTTTTGGTCTACAACAGTGGTTCTCAACCTTCCTAATACCGTGACCCCTTAATGCAGTTCCTCATGTTGTGGTGACCCCCAAACCAAATTTGGCACAATTACCCAATACACCCAAATTTGCATACTGGTGGGGTTGGGGGGGGGGAGTTGGTTTTGTCATTTGGGAGTTGTAGGTAAAAGTTTTCCCCTGACATTATGTCCAGTCATGTCTGACTTGGGTGTGGTGCCCATTTCCATTTCTAAGCCAAAGAGCCAGCATTGTCCGTAGACACCTCCAAGGTCATGTGGCCAGCATAACTGCAGGGAGCATAGTTACCTTCCCACCAGAGCAGTACCTATTGATCTACTCACATTTGCATGTTTTTGAACTGCTAAGTTGGCAGAAGCTGGGGCTGACAGCGGAAGCTCATGCTGCTTCCTGGATTAGAACCTGTGCCCTTTGGGTCAACAAGCTCAGCAACTCAGCGGTATCGTTGTTGGGATTTATTGTTAACCTACAATCAAAGAGCATTCTGAACTTCACCAACAATGTAATTGAAACAAACTTGGCACACAGATATCCCTTGACCAACAGAAAATACTGGAAGGGTTTGGTGACCACTGACCTTGAGTTTTGGAGCTGTAACTCACATCAGGCGAGCACTGTGGACTCAAACAATGATGGATCTGGACCAAACCTGGCAAGAATACTCAATCTGCCCAAATGTGAACACTGGTAGAGTTTGGGGAAATTAGACCTTGACACTTGGGAGTTGTAGTTGCTAGGATTTATAGTTCACCTACAATCAAAGAGCATTCTGAACTCCATCAACGATGGAATGAACCAAATGTGGCACACAGAACTCATGACCAACAGAAAATACTGGAAAGATTTGGCAGGCATGGACCTTGAGTTTTGGAATTATAGTTCACCTACCTCCAAAAGCACTGTGGACTCAAACAATGATGGATCCGGACCAAACTTGACACGAATACTCAATACGCCCAAATGTGAACACCGGAGGAGTTTGGGGAGGGGTTTGACTTGACATTTGGGAGTTGCAGCCGAGGCAGCCTTCACACGAGCCCCTCCTGGGCTCCCCCGCAGGCTCGCCAAATGGCGAGGCCGCGAAGGAGCCCAGGGAGGACTCGCGCAAAGGAGCCCCCGGCTGCCTTGCGGCCTCGCCATTTGGCGAAGCCATGAGGGAGCCTTCGCGCGAGCCCCTCCTGGGCTCCCCCGCGCGCTCGCCAAATGGCGAGGCCGCGAAGGAGCCCAGGGAGGACTCGCGCAAAGGAGCCCCCGGCTGCCTTGCGGCCTCGCCATTTGGCGAAGCGGTGAGGGAGCTGAGGCAGCCTTCGCGCGAGCCCCTCCTGGGCTCCCCCGCGGGCTGCGAAGGCGCCCAGGGAGGGCTCGCAGCCTTGTGGGCGGGGCCTAAGGAGGCGGCCTCGCGACCCCTCCGAAATGGCCAAACGACCCCCTGGGGGGTCGCGACCCCCAGGTTGAGAACCGCTGGTCTACAACTCCCACAAATCCCAGCCAGTTTACCAGCTGTTAGGATTTCTGGGAGTCGAAGACCAAAACATCTGGGGATGCACATATTGAGAACCACTGGTTTAGACATTTCAAGCTGAAATCCTATTCAGGCAGTTCCCAAGTTACAAACAAGATAGCTTCTGTAGGTTTGTTCTCAAGTTGAATTTGCTTACAAATAGGAACAGGTACACTAAGTGTAACTCCAAAAGTTATAGTTATACATAACTATAACTTTTGGATAGCATAAGGAAAAGTTAACACCCCTGTGGTGTTTGTTTTACTGTCTGTGCCCCTGTTCAGAAGATTTCACTTCACTTTCTGTTCCTGTGATAATTGGATTTTGAAAACACTGGCTTGTTGTGGAAACAAGAATTGGCGAGAAAGCATCAGTGGAGACACCTTTTCCTCCTGATAACTCTTCCAGGAGAGAATAATAATGATAATGATAATAATAATAATAGCAGGATCAAAGAGAAACAACTGGAAAAGCTTACATAATATGAGGATTTAAAGATTGAACTGCAAAGACTCTGGCACAAGCCCGTCAAGGTGGTCCCAGTGGTGATCGGCACACTAGGTGCAGTGCCTAAAGACCTTGGCCTGCACTTAAACACAATCGGCGCTGACAAAATTACCATCTGCCAGCTGCAAAATGCCACCTTACTGTGATCTGCATGCATTATTTGCCAATACATTGCACAGTCCTACATGTGATCCAATACAACAACCAGCAGAGTGATCTTGTCTGCAGTGGACTCATCTTGTTGTGTTTACATCCAACTTTATCTCCCCAAAGGGGACTCAAAGCAGCTTCCCTTCCCTTCCAAGCGGTAAATTTTTCTCACTTCCTGTTGTTTCATCCCCTTTCTTAACAAGGAGTTGTTTCTAAGTCAGGGACTGCCTGTACACACTTACTTGGGAGTACGTCCAACTGACTTCACTTGGAGTTACTTCCAAACTGACATCAATATGACTGTTTTGTAAGTCATCTCTATTTCTTCTGTACTCTCTTAAGACAGGTATGGGCAAACTTCGGCCCTTGAGGTGTTTTGGACTTCAACTCCCACAATTCCTAACAGCCGGTAGGCTGTTAGGAATTGTGGGAGTTGAAGTCCAAAACACCTCAAGGGCCGAAGTTTGCCCATGCCTGCTCTAAGAGTATGATGTTCTCTAAAGATGCCATTATTTTTATCAGTGAGTCACAGGGCAAGAAGCCAAGATGGGCAGATGGTCCATTTCACAGTCATCCCTCAATGAACCTTCAAAGAATCCCCATTGTGAGCTTATGTTACAACTCTGCTCTCCAACTTTAATATATCTGGGTCTTTCCCATCACCATGAACATTTCTAGTACATCATGGCCATACAGACATACCTGGGCCTGACTACTTAAGAGTCAAAATACAGATAAATAACCTTTAGCTGTTAACAAAATAAAGCTCTGCAGGACAAGCCAGCCACAGGAAAAGTTAAGGGATTATGAAGTGAAAAGCTATGCAGAGAAAAAATAAAAGGGGGAGGAAGCTATTGCTATTGCTTGCCAAATTAAATAAATCTATTGGAAGGCATTTTTGTGCCCAAAAAATGTGAAGAGGGTAGGCAGGGAAGTGCCAACTGCCTGTGAAAGTAGCGGCATGTTTAGCTTGGAGAAGGGAAGGTTGAGAGGGCACTTGCTAGCCGTGTTCAAATATGTGAAGGATGTCATATTGAGAAAGGCTTGTTTTCTGCTGCTCCAGAGACTAAGCAATGGAACAATGGATTCAAACTACAGGAAAAGAGATTCCATCTTAGTATTAGGGCAAACTTCCTGATGGTAAGAATTGTTCGACAGCAGAATATGCTGCCTGGGAACGTGGTGGAGTCTCCTTCTCTTTTTAAAACAGAGGCAGGGTGGTCATCTCTTGGGAGAGCTTTGATTGTGCATTCCTGTATGGAAGAATGGGGTTGGACTGGATCTCCCTTCTGCTCATGATTCTATGGCAACCCTTCCTGTTCTTGGCTTAGACTTACATTAGCTTAAGACTTACCACTCTGGGTTTCTCCAAGGTCTGTAGGAAGGCTGGATTCTGATCCAAGGAGCGCTCCGGGTCACTCGAGATGTCTTCCTCTGATTCTTCCCAGGAAGAGGAGAAGCCAGTCGAGGAAGCCGAGGAAGATGACAGTTTCCTACCAGCGTTGGTCCTTTGAGGGGCTCCTCCAGTCTCTTCCTCCTCCTGAGCACCCAAATCAGTCACAATGACAGCAGGGATGCTGCCACTGCCACCTCCGCAGCATTTCTCCCCTTCCAGCTGAAGGTCCCCCTGTTCCTCCACTCCTGCCAACATCCTGAGTGGGTCTCCAGGGCTGGCTTCGTTGGCTTCAGCCATGAGGAGTTCAGAGCCCTGCTCAGGCGGTGCCGTCTCCAGCTGCTGCTGCTTCTTCACCAACACAAGCGGGCAGCTGGTGCCCTCAGTCCTGGAGAGGCAAGACAGGCCTCCAAGGGGCTCCTCAGCAGCACTGGAGCCCTGCCCTCCACCAAAGCCGCGCCTCCCTTCTTCGCCACCCAAGCAGCTCAAAGCTTTGCACGACCCTCTTGGGAGATGTGCTGCCTCCTCCTCACTTGCCTGGATCCCAGTGCCAAGCCTTAACACAGACACCGCCTGAGTCCCTAGGACTCTCTGGGCTCCTTCTTGCTCTCTAGACCTCCCTGCCTCACCTTCCCCAGCCTGGGCTCTGGTGCCGATGCCCAGGATCCTCTGGACACTCTCCAACTCTTTGAACTCTGCCAAAGATCCCACTTCATCTTTACCTGCCTGGATCCCAGTGCTGAACTTCAATGTAGGTGCTATGTGTGACCCCTGGGCACTGTTGGGCTCTGTATACTCCCCAGGAGACCTTGCCTCACCTTCTGCTGTCTGGTCCTTGGTGCTGACCACCACTGGCACTGCCTGAGCGACTTGGATCCTCGGGGCTCCCTCCTGCTCTCTGAACCCCCTTGACAACCTAATTTGGCCTTCACTTCCCTGGTCCCCAGTGCTGACCCTTACTGCAGGTGCTACATGGATCCTCTGGGCTCCCTCCAGCTCTCTGGATTCCCTTGACAACCTCATCTTGCCTTCACCTCCTTGGTCCCCAGTGCTGAAACCAGCAGGTGCAACATGGATCCTCTGGGCTCCCTCCAGTTCCCTGGGCTGCTCTGAAGATCTCACCTTGTCTTCCCCTGCCTGGATCCCAGTGTCAACCCTCAATGCAGGTGCTCTCTGGGCTTCCTGGACCATCTGGGTTCCCCTTCGCTCTCCTGGAGACCTCACTTCACCTTCACCTGCCTGGTCCCTGGTACTGATCCTCATTGCTGTTGAGGAAGATGACTGTTTCCTACCAGTGTCGATCCTCGACCCAGGCACTCTCTGGGCCTCCTGGACCATCTGGGCTCCCTGTTGCTCTCCTGGAGACCTCACATCACCTGTCTGGTCCCTGGTATTGATCCTTATCGCTGGTGAGCAAGATGACAGTTTCCTACCAGTGTCGACCCTCAACGCAGGTGCTCTCTGGGCCTCCTGGACCATCTGGGCTCCCTGTCGTTCTCCTGGAGACCTCTCCTCACCTTCACCTGTACTGATCCTCACAACCGGTGATGTTTGAGCCCCACAGATCCTCTGGGCACCCTCTAACCTCCTGGACCCCCTTGGAAACCTTGCTTCGCCTTCACCTGCCTGGATTTTGGTGACATGCCCCACATCTGCTGCTGCCTGAGACTCTTGGACCTTCCGGACGCCCTCTTGCTCTCCTGGAGACTTTGATTCCACTTTGATGATGCCGACCCTCAAGACTGACACCGCCTGGACCCTTTGGGCGCCCTCCAGCAATCTCGACCCTCCTTGGCCTTCGCCTGGCTGGTCCCCAGCGCAGACCCTCAAGGCAGGGGCTATGTGGGGCCCCAGGTCTTTCCCGCCCTTCTTGGGGCTCAGCCTCCCCAGCTGTGCCTCTTGGGGGTCCCCGTTGGCCCTCCTCTCCGCCTCCTCCTTGGGGGCTGGGGGGCTTGGCGTGTCCCTCCTCCTCCTCCTCCTCCTCTCGGGGCGGGGGCTCTTGAGCAGGAAGGGCGAGCTCTGCGCCTGGATGTGCGCCTCGAAGAGCCCCACTTTCTGCGTGACCTGCACGTGCTGCAGCTCCCTCGGCACGGAAGGGGAGGGCAGGCTGCGGGGGGCGCCCGGGGAAGGGGAGCGGCTATGGGGGCCGGCCCAGCGGGGGCTGCTCAGGCGTCGCGGAGGCGAGGGCTTCTCTCCCTCCCCCCCCTCCTCCTCCTCGGCAAGCACCGGGGGAAAGAGGAAGGCGGAGGGGGAGACGGTGCTGCTGCTCCCGCTGCTGCTGCTACTGCTGCTGAAGGCGGAGAGCGGAGAGTAGGCGCTTCTCCCCTCGCTGCCGGGCCCTCCCGCCACTACTGCCGCCGCTGCCTTCTTGCTGCGCCCCTCCTCCTCCTCTTCCTCGCCGCTCTTCATGATCACCAAAGTGTTGAGAGCGTAGCAGGACACGGCCATAGTCGAGGGGCGCAGGCTCCGCTCCGTCCTCGCTTCCCTCCTCCTCCTCCTCCTCCTTCTCTCCGATCAGCTCCGGCCGGGCATCACCCGCAAACAGAGAGGCGCACCAGGGCCCTCCGTCCCGATGCTCCATAAAACACTGCGGAGAGAAGAAGAGTGCAGGAGAGAGAGAGAGAGGGAGGCCAGAGTCAGCGCGGGAAAAAGAGAGAGAGAAAAACAAGAGACCGAGCCGGACGCGCCGATTGGCAGAGGAGGCGGAGCCGCCGGCCAATGGCAATGGGGCTAATGCTAAAAGGGGCGTGGCCAGAGTGCAGGCATGGGCAAACTTGGGCCCTCTAGGGGTTTTGGACTTCAACTCCCACCATTCCTAACAGCCGATAGGAATGGTGGGAGTTGAAGTCCAAAACCCCTAGAGGGCCCAAGTTTGCCCATGCCTGGACTACACTTATAGTTTCAAACTGCATTATATGTTCAGTGTGGATTCATATAATGCAATTCCAATATATTATATGGTCTACACTGGCCATATAGTTTCAAACTGCAGTGTGGATTCATATAATATAGTTCAATGCATGGATTCATATAATATAGTTCAAACTGCATTATATATTCAGTGTAGATTCATATACAATTCTAATATATGGTCTACACTGTCCATATAGTTTCAAACTGCATTATATATTCAGTGTAGGTTCATATAATATAGTTCAATGCATTATATAGTCTGCACTACACTAACCCCTAGAGGGCCCAAGTTTGCCCATGCCTGGACTACACTGATCATATAATCTCAAACTGCATTATATGTTCAGTGTGGATTCATATAGTACAATTCTAATATATTATATGGTCTACACTGGCCATATAGTTTCAAACTGCAGTGTGGATTCATATAATATAGTTCAGGGGTCCTCAAACTTTTTAAACTGAGGGCCAGGTCACAGTCCCTCAAACTGTTGGAGGGCCAGATTATAATTTGAAAAAACCATGAATGAATTGCTATGCACACTGCACATATATTATTTAGTGTGCAAAAAACACTAAAAAAAACAACAGATTAATTAAAATGAAGAACAATTTTAACAAATAAAACTTATTAGTATTTCAATGGGAAGTGTGGGCCTGCTTTTGGCTGATGAGATAGGATTGTTGTTGTTGTGTGATTTCAAGTCATTTCAGACTTAGGTTGGCCCTGAGCGAGGGCCAGGTAAATGACCTTGGGGGGCCATGTCCGCCCCCCGGACCTTAGTTTGAGGACCCCTGATATAGTTCAATGCATGGATTCACATAATATAGTTCAAACTGCATTATATATTCAGTGTAGATTCATATAATACAATTCTAATATATGGTCTACACTGACTATATAGTTTCAAACTGCATTATATATTCAGTGTAGACTCATATAATACAATTCTAATATATTATATGGTCTACACTGGCCATATAGTTTCAAACTGCATTATATATTTAGTGTAGATTCATATCATATAGTTCAATGCATCATATTTTATTTATTTACACTATTTGTATACCGCTTTTCTCACCCCGAGAGGGACTCAGGTCTACACTACCTCCCAACCAAGCATGAGGACTGATTGTTTCACCTGGACATGGAGGAAATATTTATATAATGTCTTTTCAGTACTCTATGGATTAAACAAAGAAAATTATCTTCAAAGAAATGAAAAAAACACCCTCATTTTAGTGTGGATTAACATTGTTCATGCATTAAATAATTTACTTTTTGTTTAAAAAAAATGGTCTACACTACACTAACCATATAATTTCAAACTGCATTATATATTTAGTGTATCATACAGTTTAATGCATTATATGGCCTACACTGACCATATAGTTTCAAACTGCATTATATATTCAGTGCAGACTCATATAATACAAATCTAATATATTATATGGTCTATACTGGCCATATAGTTTCAAACTGCATTATATATTCAGTGCAGATTCATATAATACAATTCTAATATGTTATATGGTCTATACTGGCCATATAGTTTCAAACTGCATTATATATTCAGTGTAGATTCATATCATATAGTTCAATGCATTATATGGTCTACACTGACCATATAGTTTCAAACTGGTTCAAACTGACCATATAACAGTTTCAAGCCGCATTATATAGCAGTGTCGCTGGGGTCTGAGGGTCCATTATACACTGTAGAATTAATTGCACTTTGATGCACCATTTCAAGTCCCCTGGCTTAATGTTATGTGGTTGTTTTAGTTGTAGTTATTGATTTATATTCTGCTTTTTTTCTCTTAAAGAGAATAAAAGCACTGAACAGCTGTAAAAACAATGCCATAAACAATTAACAGTCTTTCAAAGACTAAACATTAAAGTGAATTAACCTTATAACTAGCTAAAGTTAATAATTAAAACTATTGAAAGCATGAAAACCAATTTAAAATATATAGTTTTGATGAGACACCAGTCATACTTTTGGGCAGAGATGGCTAAAGACCTTGCAAAACTGTAACTCCCATGATCCTATAGCACTGTGGCAGGGAAGTTAAAGGCAGAGAAGGGAGAAAGACCTTGCAAATGACTCCATAGCATTGAGCCATGGCAGTTAAAGTAGTGTGAAACTGAATTAACTCTACAGTGCAGATGCACCTAATGACTGAAGGAAATGTAAAGCCCCCACAACCAGAGCGCGCTGAATTTACACACTGAATGCCAGAGGCTACTCTTTCTCTGCAGTGACTTAACCCATAATCACAACAAGCAGCACTTACATTGCATTCCACAGATAACTAAGATAATCATGTTGAGTCTCATAAAAGCCAAGGACGGGAAATGAATGTGTGGCCACCAATGTTGTCGAGTTACAACTTCCAAGCAGACGCAGTGCTGGGAAGTGTAATTCAACTATATCAGGGAAGCCTCACAAAGACTATCCCTTTTACTCCCCATCCCCAATAACCTTCAATGAGCAATCTTGTCATTTGTTTCCAGCTTCCCATCACAATATTTAAATTATATTCAGTTCCATAATATTTAGGTTGCATTAAGCAATAACGACACTGGTTCAGAGCTTGTAAACATGAGTATTAATTACTCCGATTATTACTTATAAACCATAACTTCCTGATTCCCCCAGAAAGCAGAGCCAATTGTGCTACTGGCTGAAGGATTCTGGAAGTTGAAAGACTGCAACTCCCTATAGCATTGAGCCATAGAAGTCCAAATGGTGTCAAAATGTATTCTTTCTACAGGAGAAATGCACCCAAGGATATACAATTAAGAAAAAGTTCTTGGGCTAAAGTAATTTCATCTTGAGTAAACATAGCTGCAGTGGTACAGCGGGTTAAACCGCCAGCTGCGGAAAAACTTGCCAACCAGAAGGTTGGCAGTTCAAAGCCATGGGTCGGGGTTAGCTCCAGCTGTTAGCCTTAGCTTCTGCCAACTTCTCAGTTTGAAAACAAAAATGTGAGAAATGTGGTGGGGAGGTTAAAGGGGCTGATGCAAACATGCCAGCAATACAATCAGGAAGGCGTCCACGTACAACAGGCTCCTCGGCATGAAAAATGGAACAAGAGGACCTCCCCATGGCCAGAGATGAGCACAGCCTCCAAACGCCAGAGATAAAAAAGGGCAAGCCTTTACCACTGTCAGCCCCAGCTTCTGCCAACCTAGTAGTTCGAAAACATGCAAATGTAGGTAGATCAATAGGTACTGATCCGGCGGGAAAGTAACGGTGCTCCATGCAGTCATACTGGCCACATGACCTTGGAGGAGATGAGAGATTAGAAGATTAGAAATGGAGATGAGCACCAACCCCCAGACACGGACACGACTGGACTTAATGACTTTACTTTAATTGCCATAAGCCAGTGCTATGGAATCTTAGAAGTTGTAGTTTGGTGAGGCAAAAGGCTATAAAAGCTCTCTACGTGAGGTTGCCTTTGAAGACGGCCCGGAAGCTCCAATTAGTCCAACGGGTGGCAGCCATGATACTAACAGGAGCGGAGCGCAGGGAGCACACAACTCCTCTGCTGCACCAGCTCCACTGGCTGCCGATTTGCTACCGGGCTCAATTCAAAGTGCTGGCGTTGGCCTTTAAAGCCCTAAACGGTTCTGGCCCAACCTACCTATCTGAACGTATCTTGGCCTATCAGCCCACCAGGACCCTAAGATCTTCTGGGGAGGCCCTGCTCTCTATCCCGCCTGCTTCACAGGTGCGGCTGGCGGGGACGAGAGACAGGGCCTTTTCTGTGGTGGCCCTCCGGCTGTGGAACGCCCTTCCTATGGAGGTAAGATCAGCCCCCTCGCCAATGGTGTTCCGAAGAAGAAAGACCTGGATGTTCGAACAGGCATTCGGTTAATTCGGTACAATGAACTGATGACTAAAAGATTGGTAATATGGACGATGAAATTGGATTATGATTTTAGTTAAGAGATGCATGGATTATTATTGACGGGCCAATATTGTATATTGTGTATTGTGTATGCTGTTTTTTATGGTTTTAATCTGAATATTGTTGTTTGTTGTACTGTTGTAAACCGCGTTGAGTCGCCAATTTAGGCTGAGAAACGGCGGTATACAAGCACAGTAATAAAATAATAAATAAATAAATAAAATAACACTGCACCATGGCACTTATGTCCCAAATGTCTTTATACATAGGGAAAAATTAAAAATATATATTTAATGTTTAAATATTTAATATTTCATATTTTAAATAGTAAAATATTTAATATTTCTAAAGTTCAGTATTTAGTATTTGAAATATTTTACAGTTAATATTTGAAATATTTTAATATTTCATATTTTAATATTTTTACTTTCAGATATACAACTTGTAAAGAATACTCTGAAAAAATTGCAATGCATATTTTGTAAGTAAAGGTATGTTAAGTGGATTCTGGGGTTTGTAGTTTGTGGAGGAGCCTTTAAGATCTTCACTAAACTACAAACCCCAGGATTCTGCAGGAGGCAGAAACCGGATTTTAAGTGGATTTTTTCTCTAGAGTGATAAAGTGGTAGCTACAATTTCCCATTTCCCCTATGTATGATCCCTTATGGGGCACCCTATAGTGTTGAACTGCATTAATTCAACACTATAGGTGAAGAAAACAACAAAAAATAGCAACAGGAGATAACAACATGG